CTCCTTCCTGTGCCCGTCTCCTTCCTGTGCCCGCCTCCCCTCCTTGCCCACCTCCTTCCTGTGCCCGCCTTCCATCCTGTGCCCGCCTCCCCTCCTGTGCCTGCCTCCCCTCCTGTGCCCGCCTCCTTCCTGTGCCTGCCTCCCCTCCTGTGCCCACCTCCCCTCCTGTACCCGCCTCCCTCCTGTGCCCGCCTCCTTCCTGTGCCCACCTCCCCTCCTGTGCCTGCCTCCCCTCCTGTGCCCGCCTCCCCTCCTGTGCCCGCCTCCCCTCCTTGCCCACCTCCTTCCTTTGCCCGCTTTCCGTCCTGTGCCCACCTCCTTCCTGTGCCCACCTCCCCTCCTTGCCCACCTCCTTCCTGTACCCCTCCTTCCATTCCTGTGTGCCGCCTCCATCCCTGCACCCTGCCTCCCGCCCTCACTCCTGGGACCCGTCCAGCCTGGGTGGGGTGCTTTGCCGGCGGGGGTCCGCGCCTGGTCTCTGTCTCTGCTCAGGTCCCCGGGGGCTCGGCACCCTGGCTCTTCCCGCTCACCTGCGTAGTCCGGTGGCCGTTTTGCAGCTGTGCACTAACAGGACTAGCACAGTGGTCGATGGCTCTCCAAGGGGGGACTGCAGATCTCAGCTCCCGTCAGCCGGATGCCGGGCTGCGGGTGGGGTGTCTGGCGGAGCCGGGCCGTCCTCGAGGGTAGAGAGCAAGCAGTGTGGAGGAGGAGGCTCTCCCGAGGCAGGGCGGCGCGCCAGGGCAGGCGCGTGGCGCAGGGCCTCCGGCCGGACGGCGAGCGGGGCAGCAAACCCAGCCCCACAGCGCCTCCCCTCAGCACGGACCCCTGCGTCCCGCCCTGGGGCTCCTTGGAGCTGAGGCCTGGGTGGGTAGCAAGGCCCCCGCCTTTCCCGAGGCCCAGCTGGTGGCCGTGGCTCAGCCCTTTCCATGCTCTGCTGAGGCCACCACTGCCCACAGGTTCCAGGAGGCCCTGCTGGACTTCCAGCTGGCCCTGGCACAGCTGAGGGGCAACACCACCATTGACTACACGCAGCTGGGCCTCCACTTCCGGCTGCAGGCCTGGGAGGTGAGCAGGCACGGGTGCCGTCTAATGAGGGGTGGTAGCGAGCCTTGGGGTGTGGTCGGAGCCCTCGGGGGCTCTGGGGTCTTGACTCGCAGGCCGGGGCGCATCTGTGAGAGGTGTCAGGGTCACCGTGAGTCACGCAGACCTGGAGCCCCAGCGCCCCTCCTGCCCCCTCTTCTGGGGGTGGGGGAGAACTACTCAGGCCTTTCTGGGTGCCCAAAGGGAGAGGACAGGACGGGGTTGGCAATAGGTGGCCAGTTAAGAGGCCACTGGAGGGGCAGAGCAGGAAGGGGCGCTCTGCTCCCTCCCCGAGGGAGGGCTGTGTCCCTGTCTTCAGTCCTCTGGGGCCCGTGTGAGTCACAGTGAAGGATCATGGGGGAAGCCAGGGTCTTCAGACACACCGTCTGCCGGCCCGGGGCTGTGGGGACTGTGGCAGGCACAGCCCCGTGGGCAGGCCACAGAACAGAGCCCGAGCCGGCAGTGGGGTCTTTGTGGAGCAAATCTGGGCCGGCGTACTCACCCCGCCACCCCCAGCAGCGACTGAGGGTGTTTGGAGGTGGCTCAGAGCACAGCTTGACCCCACTTTGGGCAGGGGCCCCGGGACAGCCCTAGCTTTGTCTGGCTGCCGGTGTCCCTTGGGCTGACACCAGCAGCCGACTCTGAAACAGCCAACGGGCCATCTTACAAAGAACAGTGTCCCGTGTTCCAAGAAAAACGAAGAGACCAAAGTGGAACATGTCCCTTCCAGGGTTGAACAGCACCCGGGGCAGGGCACCCACGGCAGGGCACCCGGGGCAGGGCACCCACGGCAGGGCACAGCACCCAGCCACTCCCGCTGGGGCCAGGCGGGTGCCCAGGAGCCTGGTCCAGCCCATGGCTCCCATGCCAGCTGGACCCCTGAGCAGCTGGGGCTGGGCCAGGTGAAGCCCAGGCCCGGTCACCTCCACCCCCACTCCTAGGTGCTGTACAATGTGGCATCCGCGCAGTGCCAGCTGGGGCTCTGGACTGAGGCTGCCGGCACTCTACGGGAGGCCATCTCCAGGTGGCCAGAGGGGGCCCGAGGCGGCCTGGACACGGCCCTGGGCCAGGTGCAGGTGAGGGCTGCGGGCAGGCGTGGGCCCTGGTGACCAGCGGTGACACACGGAGGCTCGGGGCCTGGGGAGGGCCCCAGGGAGCCCTTCCGCTCCCAGGCTGAGTGCTCTGTAGCTCGGCCCGGCAGCCGCTGAGCCCCAATGGCTCCACCCCAGAATCAGGTGCCGCTGGAGCCCCGGCAGGTCCCCAGGGGTGAGGTCTTCCGGCCCTACAGAGGACACCTGGAGCTCCTGCGGCCGGTGGATTTCCTCGGCCAGACCAAGGTGAGGGGCCTGGGCCCGGCCTGCGTGTCTGCGGGGCCCAGGGACGGCTGCAGGCTGTGTTGACAGCGGGCAACTCGCGTGCTGCCAGTGCAGGCGCGGGCCTGGGGACCTGGTCAGGGTACACGGGCACAAGACCCTCCTCAGCTTGCTCCCTGGGGTTGGAGTGGAGCGGGGCTGCGGGCCTGAGGCAGAGCCGCGTCTGGGCTCTTCTCCCCGCCACCGCAGCACCGGCGTCTACACGTGTCGCTGTCTCTCCTTCTCTGTTACAGACAGCCCACCCCTGCCCCAGGTCAGGGCCAGCGGGCGCCTTGGCGCGGTTTGCTCCAAGGGTGGGAGGCGTTTGGGAGAAGAGCCCATCTCAGCGTCCTATTTTTGCTCGCATTGGCTTTGCCCTGGTGGCCCCTCGGCTGGCCACACCCTGTGGCCGCTGCAACGTCACCGGGGCCCAGGGCGGTGCCCATGAGCAGACTGGTGCCGGGGGAGAGGGGCATCTGCAGAAGTCATGAGAACGTAACTCCAGAGTATTGGCGTGTCGTCCTTGTCATGAACTTCTTGTGCACTGCGGTGGTCTGGCAGGCCAGGGCCGGCACACAGCCCGCCACCCATAGACCGGAGATCCGGGAGCCTTAGCAGCAGTGTGGGCTGAAGATAGGCCCGAGAAGGCCCCGACATAGCTGTGCCCTGTCCCCCGCCAGGTGGTGGCCTCCTCCAGCCTTGGTGACCAGCACTCAGGTGTCCAGCCTCAGCAGGTAGGTGGGCAGCCTCTGGCAGTCCCAGGCTTGTCCCCGCCCAGCATGACAGGACTGGCCACTGGCCACAAAGCGGAATGGTGGGGGTCCTGGGTCCTCTTTGGTCCCTGGTGTCCAGCCCCCTCTCAGAAGGGATGGGGTGCTGGCTGGGGTGGCACCGTCCCTGGGGGAGGGCCTGCAAACAGAACAGGGGCCCTGGATCACGGGAGCCATTGAGGGAGGCCTGTCTGCCCCTCTTGGCCAGGGCGAGGTTGTGCTTTGTCCCTCCAGGTGTGTGCAGCCGGCAGAGAAGCTGGTCCCAGGGCTGCAGCAGCAGGGGAGGGCCTCTGCCTGCCCGGCACAGCAGAGGCCTCGCACCTGACGCCTGGGCCTCCCGCTCCACCAGTCAGGGGGTAGGCCCGTCACTCCTGACACGTACAACTGATGAGAATTCCCGGTGCTGGGGAAGGGTCACCGGCCCACCTTTTCCCTCCCTGTGTTCTGACTCTTTCTGCACAAGCTGCCTGTCTGGGAGGTGGGTTGGGATGGGGGGGGGTATACCTGTGGTCGCATGAAGCAGCGGGGCTCTGGGCCAAGCTGGCCAGGAGTGACCTCAGCCTCACTGGGCCCCCGCGGGCCACGGGCTCTGTGACGTAGAACGATGCCGAAGCTGTGGAGCTGGGGAGACGGGATGAGCCCGGGAATCTCTGCCACCCCTCAGGGCTGCTGGGCTGAGCAGACAGGCTGGGGCAGAGCCATGAGCTCCAGGCTGGACAAGGCCTGAGGAGAGGGCACTGTTCTCTCCCAGGGCCCAAGTCCCGGACCCGCAAGGAGCCAGCCCCCACCCCAGCCCCCCTGCTGCAGAGCCTGAAGTGAGCACTGACCGCATCCTGTCCACCCCCTACCAGGACCCAGTGAGTGAGCCTGGACCCCCTGGGGGACAGCCTGGCCGGGGACGTGGAGGGGCTGGCTCGCTGGCACATAGCGAGCCCAGCCACCAGCCTCTCGGACAGGTGGCCCGGCCATCCTAGGGCTCGGGCAGGCAGCAGGTGGACCGTGACTGCATAGGGACAAGGTGAGGTCCAGAGGCAGCGGCAAGCCCGGCTTTCCTCCTGAGACTCCAGCCACAGGCCTCGTGTCTCACTCGGACTCGGGACGCCGGCCACCGGCTCTTCTCTCCCCCAGATGCTCGGTCCACTCTGTTCTCAGAGCTCCGGTCCCCTCCCGAGGCGCGAGGCCTCAGTACCTGCCCATGGGTCTACCTAGTCTACCTGACCTCCTGACCCAGCCTCCCTGCCCTCCTCCTGCTGACCCCACCCTCCCCTCGGCTCAGGACCTCCTCCTCCCCCTCCCTCCCCCGCCTCCTCCCTATAGCTCAGGACCTCCTCCT